ACCATACGAAGCCAACCATGCCAATTGGAGGTGCAGGGGGATGGACAAAAAACTAAACACAACAAGCATTTTGAAAGAAATTAGTTCTCAATGTAGTATTGTGGTGTCGTGTACAGTAGTATAGTACATAGTAGTGTGGCATATAACTGCGTAGCGTATAGTAGTGTAGTATGTAGCAGTGTATAGGGTAGTAGTGCAGTGTATAGTCGTGTATAATCGTGTAGTGTTAAGTGTACTGTATAGTAGTGTAGTGCATAGCACATTTAGCCAACCGTGCTAACCGGATGTGGGTTTATATTGCGGTTCACTAACCACTTTTTGCGTAATTAAAAATTTTCCGATCGGGCTGCATCACCAATCCACTTGCCCACGTTTTCACCTCTCCACTTCCCTCACATTATCTCACCTCCTATCCACCTCTACATTGGGTGCGCTTCTGCCTCCGAGCTCTCTCCACTGCTGGTCGATTCTTGAATTTTGTGTCCTCCCGGGGAATGTTCGTCTCGCTCATGGGGCTCCGTGCCATGGTCATTCTCTTCGCTGGGCTCCTGGCAGGTGAGTGCTGCTCTTGTTGTTTATATTGCAACAACGATAGCATTAAATTTCGATTTAAAGCTTTCGTGACTGCAATGATTCATCTTCTTTGGTTCTTTCGGTAAAGTCACGTAGAATGAGAATAAAATAATAAATTGATAAAATAAAATAACACAATAATATTCTCACGACGTTTCGGCCACAACACAAGCGGCCTTCATCAAACGTCGTGAGAATATTATTGTGTTATTTTATTTTATCTATTTATTATTTTATTCTCATTCTACGTGACTTTACCGAAAGAACCAACGATAGCATTGATGAGAGATTCCTTGTCTCAAAGGGCTATTCGCTGCTTCTACAAAGTGCTCATTGGAAGGTGGTTACGAACATGCATTTTTACCGGAAATTTAACTGACATAAAATAGGGCAATGTTGAGTCGCGGAGTTCTGAACGATTTTTTTTTCTGACAGACCACACATTTTTTTGTGATTGTATTTAGAGCTAGCTATATGTTAATTGCTTAAGGAATTCAGATTTGGATGGTTATAATAACCTCTATTTTATAAAGTACCGTTCATACTGAAGTATCTCAAAGCGAATTTATATTTTGATTTAAAGCTTTCGTGACTACAGGGATTCATAATCTTGGTTCTTTCGGTAAAGTCACGAAGAAGGGAAACAATAAAATAATAAAAATATAAAACAATATATAACAATTAAACATTTTTGTTGTGGTTTTCACACCTGATGATGATTGCTTGTGTTGCAGTCGAAACGTCGTGAGAATTTTATTGTTTTATATTTTTATTATTTTATTGTTTCCCTTCTATGTGACTTTACCGAAAGAACCAAGAATGTATCTCAAAGCGCTACACGTAAAAATAAAACTACACTCACAAGTACAGATACAATCCAAGTGAAATAGAAAGCTGATAATGACGATTATCAGCTTTCTAATCAATGACTATTCTCGAAATTCCAAAATGAAGGACCATGATAACAGCGAATGATACAATTACAGAGTAATCCAATCAGACAACATAATTGGTCTTTAAATATTTAGTTACAGGAAAAGCCTGCAATACAAACAGGTGAGTTTTAAGACAGTGATTTAAAAAAGGAATCACTCAGAATCCCGAATGGACCGAGGAAGAGGTTTCCAAAATCCTGGACCCTGGCTGTAGAAGGCTCCGTGTCTCCCATATAACGTCTATTTCGCTGAGATTGTTTCTGTACTTGTGAGTGTAGTTTGGAATTAACGGTAGACCAGAATCAGCTGATCTAAGTTTTCCCAGTGTTATATTAATATATGGAAGTATTAAAAAGATTGCACGCAGAAGAAGACCCGATGATGTGGGCAGTGATGTGAAGGAGACTGGCACTATTTGGACACATATGTAGGATGGAAAACAAGAAAATTAAAATTGTGTTGTTGTTCCGACAAATGGAAAGAACTGGAAATAGAGCAAGGCTTAACAGAAAATAGCTTAATGGCGATGTTATAAGAGATTGGTGCCATAAAGATGTGACCACTACTTGAGAATATTGGCACTACACGACAGAGAAGTGGAAACAACAAATTACGAAATGTGCAGTGAACACTTACTATAGGTTATCTGCCCATGGATCATGATGATGATATAAAACTTGAGCGGTTTGGCCAGATGTTTAAGGTGCCAGCATTTTCACGGCCTTGTATATGAGAAGTAGACTCTTAAAAGTCAAGTCCGTACTTTACAGAGAGCCAGTGCAGGCACGAGAAAGAATAGGCCCAATATGGTAATAGGTTTTTCCATGTGAGCAGTACATTTATTTTGGAGTGTATTCTGAAATGTTGATTTCCTCGCCATGGCAAATTCTTTATATGTCAGAGGATGTAGGTTGCTTCGTTAAAAAGTGAACCGGGTGTTAATCTTATTTATTAATCTGTGTCTAGAAGGGGGCGTGCAAATTTATATCCAGAAAGCGTCTTTTTAAATCAGACCAGACCGATTCTATTACATTTGAATTAAGGACGGAATATCAGTAACATGGATGTGATCGCTATATTTCAAAATACATCCTTTTGAAAGGTTGTATTTGTGATATAATTGGTGATTTTTTTATTACTTTGATCGATTGGATGTGAGCAACTATGCAATAATTACTGAGGTTATTTTCAAACTATCTCTTTGAGGTGATCAAGACAGATAACTGCATCAGGAGGAGCGGAGTGTAAGGCTATGATGTCTTTTCTAGATTTGAAGCTTTCGTGACTGCAAGGATCCATGCTCTTTGGTTCTATTCGGTAAAGTCACGTAAAAGTATAAAACAACAAAAAATAAAAAAATGAATAAATCACGACGTTGCGGCCACAACACAAGTGGCCTTCATCAGGTGAAGGAACCAGACTGTCTCGAGGACAGCGCTGGAGTGAACACAGCCAAGCTCAGACCGCGACCTTTAAGCTTGTGTGAGAGGAATTAAGGTGCCTTGACAAAGGAATTAGCATAAAAATTAGCATTTAATTGGTGGACTTAGCATGATGAATGGTGTAGAGGGGTGAACATGTGCAGACCCTACTAATAGCCTAACAATAAAAACCAACAAGATCATCACAAGTTCAACCTCCCTAATCGACCCAACTAAACGTCCCTCCCTAAAACCTTCTGCTGCAAGACCCCCTAGATTCTATGGTCTTCCCAAGATTCATAAAGAAGGCACCCCACTACGACCCATCGTATCCACGATCAACTCCCCTACCTATAGACTAGCCCGTTTTCTGTCAGATACCTTGCTGCCTTTCACTGGCAAGACCGCCTCAGCAGTACTTAACTCAGCCCAATTGGTCTCTATGGTCAAAGACGTTGTACTGTCCCCTGACGATATCCTTGTCAGCTTCGATGTGGTCTCTTTGTTCACCAAGGTCCCAGTACCTGATACCATTGAAATAATTGAAAATTTGGTCCAACATGGACTAGACCCCGATACACCTGCACTGGTTCGGCACTGCCTCAACAATACCTACTTTACTTGGAATGGCACCTTCTACAAACAAAATGAGGGTACCCCCATGGGATCCCCCTTGTCACCAGTGATAGCCAATATTTTCATGGAGAAATTTGAATCAGACGCCATCCAGACTTCCACCCTCAGACCTTCCCTGTGGAAGAGATATGTGGATGACACTTTCATCATTTGATCACATGGCCTCCCGGCTTTGAACCTTTTCCTAGACCACGTTAATTCCAGACACCCCACCATCAAATTCACCATGGAAGTGGAGAAAGATGGCAAGCTGCCATTCTTAGATGTTCTGTTTGAGAGGAGACCTGATGGCTCATTGGGACATTCTGTCTACAGGAAACCCACCCACACAGATTCCTACTTGAAACCTGATTCCCACCAGCACCCGACGCAAAAAGAATTATCTCATCAAAACGTTATACCACAGGGCTCATTGCATTTCGGACCAACACCACCTGACCAGTGAATAAAACATGTGCATCTGGCCCTCAAAAAGAATGGATACTCTGACCGTACCATCCGCCAAGCTGTTTCTCCCTCCATACAGAAACAACCACTTGATACTCCGATCAAAACCATCACACTGCCATATATAGCAGGCGTTACTAAAAAGATCTCCAAAATTCTAAACAAACACAAGATCCTGGTCCGGTTCAATACAGTACACAAAATCCGTGACTTGATCCCTTCCGTGAAGGATGTCATTCCTGACTTACAGTACCCCGGAGTTTACAGATTGATCTGCACCTGTGGTGACTGCTATATCAGAGAGATGGAACGACATGTCACTGACCAAATTCGCGAGCACAAATCAGATTTGAAACACGGCATAACGAATTATTCTGCCGTAGCTGATCACTGTTACAACGCTGTGGGTGATCACGATATAATTTTCTCCGATACCAAGGTTCTTTGCAAACCCACGGGTTTTTATCAGAGATTTGTTCACGAGGCAATTCAGATCTACAAACACAGACACAATTTCAACCGAGAAGATGGTTTCAAATTAAGCAACCATTAGAAAGATGTTCTAAATCGAACCAAACATTAAACTAATTTTCAATGGTACAGTATATTTTTTCAAGTAGTGGTATCCCACACTTTCGCAGCTGCTTAAATTCCCTTTTCACAACCATCAATATGTAAACTCTCTCCTCCTCACCCTCGCCGGTCTACACATGTTCACCCCCTCTACACCGTTCATCATGCTAAGTCCGCCAATCAAATGCTATTTTTTATGCTAATTCCTTTGTCAAGGCACCTTGATTCCTCTCACACAAGCTTAAAGGTCGCGGTCTGAGCTTGGCTGTGTTCACTACAGTGCTGTCCTCGAGACAGTCTGGTCCCTTCACCTGATGAAGGCCACTTGTATTGTGGCCGAAACGTCGTGATTTTTTTTGTTGTTTTATACTTTTACGTGACTTTACCGAATAGAACCAAAGACTATGATGTCTTCTTCATATTTGTGGATCGAGCACTGTGTCATTGTTCTTTGTACGGTCTGCTCATCACAATGATAGAATCTCAAAGAGCTTCCATTCTGGATATAAATAAAGGACACGAATGATATATGTATGTTGAACTGCTTTCGCACCGCACGTAGCCAACCATGCTAATTAGAGGTTGCACTCTTACAGGCTATTTGCACGTGGATCGTGATGATGATGGACGGATGGATGAATGAAGAGTCCCAATGGCCTCATTCCCTGGAGCAAGGAGCCTCTGCCAGTCATCGGCATGACCGTTCGGCGACGTGGCATTATTTTGAGATTCGTGCGCATACCACACATTCATTTATTTTCCACCACCAAAATTATTCACTAAATAGGAGTCCTGTCCCTGTGTCGGAATGCTAGGGGCGTGGTGCCAAGACGACGGCAAGCTGAACTGCAGGTCGGCGAAGCAAGGCTACCAGGTCTGCTCGCGATCCTCAGTGGAGGCCGTGGAGGGTGGCTCTGCGATGCTGCCCTGCACCTTCTCGTTCCCGGCTCACCTTCAGCCCAGCAGAGTTTCCGTGTCTTGGAGGTCGGACATGTTCCGTGACTCCACGGTTTTCCAGAGCATCGGCGGATTCGTGCACGAGTCTCTCAGGGGCCGCCTCTCTCAGAAGGGAGACCTGGGCAGACGCGACGTGTCCATTTTCATCCGCGACATCCGGATCGACGACTTCAAGGTGTACGTCTGCCAGGTGATGTTGTTCGATGACAAGGTGGGCTACGAGGTCCACGTGTCCGACGGGATCGAGCTGAAGCTAGGTAACGTATTCAGCAGGCGCGATGGTATTTTTTTTATAAGGTATGCAAGTATGCAATGTATTTTGGCCATTCTCTTTGGTTCTTTCGGTAAAGTCACGTAGGTATGAAATAAAATAAATTGTGACTTCATTTGTTTAAAAAGTGATGTAATTTATTTTATTTTATACCTACGTGACTTTACCGAAATAACCAAAGAGTATGGATCCCTGCAGTGACAAAAACTTCAAATCTAGATTATTTTGGCCATGTTCATACATTTACAATTATACAATTAACATGTATACAATGTTCTTTGGCCATGTTCATACATTGCCAACTATACAATTGACATGTATACAATGTACTTTCGCCATGTTCATACATTGACAACTATACAATTGACATGTATACAATGTACTTTCGCCATGTTCATACATTGACAACTATACAATTGACATGTATACAATGTACTTTGGCCATGTTCATACATTGACATCTATACAATTGACATATATAAAATGTGTTTTGCCATGTTTATACATTGATAACTACATCACAATTGAACACATAATTACAACATTTTAAATATTTTGCCACGTGATGAAGTCATACTATTAAAAATATGTATGGTTAAACAACAACAACCGCGGGGATATCATAACGATGCTTGCGCCAAGCTATATACACTTTAAGGCCCCGTGAATTGTCACGTCAAATAACTCCCCTATGTCCCGCACGGGTTGTAGGGAGGCCTTCATCCAGAAAGCGGATATGGAAGGGAAGGGCTGTGCTGTGCAACACCTGGGTACATTGGGATGTTACTGTGCGTAGAAAACGTGTTGTCCCCATCATTCACGCACCCACCCACTCACCCATCCACTCACCCACCCACCCGCTCACTCATCCACTCATTCACCCACCCACCCGCTCACTCATCCACTCTCTCATCCACTCACTCACCCCACGTGCACTTCTGATTCGCACGGTTGGCTACGCACGGCGCAAAATAACTTCCTACATTCGTACATTATTTTGCAAAGTAATGGATACGTTACCTAGCTTCAGCTCGATCCCATCGGACACAGCAGCATGATTTCACAAAATTTGCTACTCATCATCGTCTTCGAACTTTATTATTTTTATTGTTTTATATATTTAGCCGACCTGTCCCCCCTCGTTAGGATACACGGGAGGAGATGGACAGGGCAGACCGGCTACGTTCAACTTGCCAAACTACCATAATTTGAATTAACCTCATTTTGCAACCTGGGATTTCCAGAATTGAAACTCAATGTCAATATATGCAATAGTCGATGGTAATCAGTCTGATACCTTCACCATTAACTCTGGTATTCCAGAAGGCTTCGTTTTGGCTCTAACAGTATGTATTATCTTCATTCATAACTTATAATTATTCCACACAACAAATATAAGTCATTCCTTTGTACGTGACATTAAAGTCCATGCATCATTCACTTAAAACACAAGTCTAAAGTAAAATATATTTAGATACCCAACTTCCATATGCTTCAATATTAAAACATCTGGTCACATTCAACTAAATAACCAAGTTAATATTAACATCACTTAAGCTTATTAATACGACTGTTAATACCACATGTCCTCAACGGCAGAGTAGGCGGAATAAGATGTTAAGATCTCAATGGCTGTGAAGGCAGACGAAGGCTACAGCAGAACGATATCTAGAATTGTCTTGGTCTCCTACCCATTGGATTTATGGTCCCGTTCTATCAAGAACTGCGTGGAAGCTGCTGTGCAACAGCTTCTCCACAATAAAATAATTCACGCACAGAGATCTTTCATGAAAGGGCCAACATCGTCATAGCACATTAACAGGGTGTTGGTGATGACTCATCATCACCAACACCCTGTTCCACCAAGAAAATAGATACAAAACATCATGGCAACATCCGCAATCTAAGCGGATATCGATAATATAATTGTCCATGCCTAGGATCGCGAATTTGTCTGCATCACCCAGGCTGTTCTAGCAACTGATGATTGCGTGACTGACCATCAACTCATCTGCTCAATTATGTCCATAAAACTGTCTCAGAGGTGACGGCTGCAGCACAAGAGATGCCTACAGAAGATCAATTTCGAAGGTCTCAAGGACTCGATATAATAAGACCTTTTCCACCGATGCCTCAATGAAAAACTGGCAAACTTTAATCACCACCAGTGGGAGAATGTTTGCAGCGCTTGGGATGTCCTTAAGTCCACGATCATTGACACCTGTAAAGAGACACTTGAAGTCTCTTACAAGAAACAACAAGACTGGTTTGAAGAGAATGATCAGGAGTTCCAAGAGTTGATCGATCACAGATGCAATGATTTTTGTGCTTGGCAAAAGAATACTAATTCCAAGCAAAATACGTGGAATCACCAACAAGCAATGGCAGCGGTCCAGAGGAGGACCCACGATATGAAAAACAGATGGTGGGAAGATAAGGAAAAAGAGATCCAACATCTTGCCAACATCCATAATATGTGCGCCATTTTCAGTGATACCAAAAGTGCCTATGGTCCGAACACTCAGGGACCAACCCCCTAAGGACTAATAATGGAGGAGATCTAATCAAGGCGAGGGAAGCTATTAACACTTGTTGGAAAGAGTATTTTGAATATCTTCTCAATCGTGACTTGTTCATCGATGACAGTGTTTTCTGCTCCATCCCACAACATCCGATGAGAAATGAGCTTGGAATCCCCCCTACCCTTGATGAACCGATAAAAGCCATCAAGCAAATGAAGAACAATAAGGCATCTGGAGCGGATGAAATCCCTGCTGAAATCTTCAAACAAGGGAGAGATCACGTCACGGCTCCAAAGAGATGGATACGTTACCTAGCAGGTCGTTTGGAAATCCCAAACGACCTTAGAGATGCCATGATTGTGACCATCCATAACAAAGGAGATAAATCCGATTGTGGAAATGACAGGGGGTCGCCTTGCTGTCCACTGTAGGAATGATCATTGCAAGGACTCTCCTGAACAGTCTTCTGCCACTTGCTGATGAACTCCTCCTCGAATCCCAATGTGAGTTGAGGCCATCAATAGGCACAACTGACACGATCATCACTGCATGTCAACTGCACGAAAAATGTCAGGAACAACACAAACCTCCATAATAGAAGTTTTTGGGTTAGATCGCGTAAATATATAAATGTGTCGTTAAACCTGCCACCACTCGACACAGACAACTAGTAAGGGTTGTCACGTTAACAAAACATGCCAATTCCTGACTAGTACAGCACACCAGTGTGTTGGAGAGCCTAGCCACAACATTTACAAACTGAGTACGACGTTTCGCCAGTAATTACAAATATCTTCTTCAGGCGACAGCCAGATTTGTGGGGAAGTCTCACTGTTTTGTTCCTTTATATAGAGGCGTAGATCTGTTGACCACCCTTCTGCGCTCTTGTACACTGTGGGGGTGGGGGGGGATTACTGAGGCAATGCACATTATGCGTGTGCATGAAGCGAACCCTTTGAACTTGTCCTTCCTGTCTATTGCGTTTATTAAAATAGCCCTACCAAAGGTAATCCCCCCTTCTTAGTGTTGCGTGGAAGTGACTCATCAAATAATACATTATTTAAATGCATGCCTACAAAGGGCAACGTACGTCAATAGGGATTACCGTTGGTAGGGCTAGTTTAATACATTACACCTAACTATTGGCAAGCTTCAAGCAGGAGTGGAGCTAAACTACCGAATGGTAGACTGTTCAACATCAACCGACTTCGATCTAAAACGAAGACCATCCCGACAGCAGTTGTTGAGCTCCAGTATCCTGCTGATGATGCTGTTGTGTGTACCCATTCAGCAGTGGATATTCAGTTAATCATCACAACTTTTACTGAAGCATGTGAGAACATGTTACTGACGATTAATATTTAAAAGACTAACGTCCTCCATCAACCAATTCTCAATGAGCAGTCCCCAGCACCGACAATCTACATCCACCGTGAGACTCTGGAAAATGTTGAGCATTCCCCATACCTCGGAAGCCTTCTTTCTCAGAATGCTGACATCGACAAAGACATCCAAAATGGCCTGAATTTTTTTAGTGCAGCTTTCAGTCGGCTGAGGAAAAGGGTGTTTGAAGAAAGTGACATCAGGTCCAAAACCAAGATCATGGTTTATCAAGCAGTCGTAATCTCTACCTTACGGTACGGAGCTGAGACGTGACATACAATAGACATCTCAAAGCGCTAGAGAAGTACGATCAACGTTGTGTACGGAAGGTCCTTAAAATCAGGTGGGAAGACAGACGCGCTAACATCAGTGTCCTCTCGCAAACAAACACCACGAACATTGAGGCCATGATCATTCGACATAAGCTTTCCTGAGCCGGCCACGTCATCCATATGGCAAACTCCAGACTCCCAATGAAAGTCTTCTACTCCCAGCGTAGTCGGGGTGTGCGTTCAATAAGTGGGCAGAGAAAACGCTTGAAGGATGTCCTCAAGGCCAACATGAATAAGTGCACCATGGACAGCAACTCATGGGAGACTCTTGCCCAGGATCACCTCAGATGGAGACAAAGTCTATTTCAAGAATCCAAACATTTTGAAATTCAATCGCAGAAACAGGAAGAGGAAAAGCGGGGACGGCATATACAGCAATGCTGCAGCCCGACTTACTAATTCAGTTCCACCCACCACTCTTTCTGGACACGCATGTTCTCAAGCTGCGGCAAAATCTGTCGATCCCAGATTGGTATCTTCAGCCATCTTTGCACCCACAGATAATCCAACTTTTCTATGGCACACAATCATCCTCGATTGCGAGGGATAGCATATGATGATGCTGATGAGCACTCTATATAGTGAGGTCCTGCAATTTTCATATCAGGGCTCTATGACACATTCGACCACTAATGAGTTGCGACATAGCCAACATGGTCGCGTGTAGCTTAGTTTCGACAAGGCTCGATTATTGTAACTCACTACTCTATAGGACGTCTGGCAAAAAAACATTGCCAAGCTACAACGTGTACAAAACTCTTTGGCACGTGTCATGACAGGTCCTACAAGATCCGACCATGTCCGTCCAGTGCTCGCTGAGCTGCATTGGCTTGCGGTTGCCAAACGAATACATTATAAGGTCGCATTCATTACACACAATGTGCTTGCCACAAATGAACCACAATACCTTGCTAATCTCGTGAAAGAGCATAAACCATCACGTGAATGTCAATCATCCTCGTACCAGCGGCTTTGGACTAACAGTCGAGCAATACGATCATTGCATTGTGCAGTGCTTTCAGATGTGCTTCTGCAGCTGTCTGGGATGCTCTTCCTTTAAAATCATCTAGATTGAAAACTCATTTCTTTAGAACTGCTTTTTTATGTAGTTTGTTGTCGTACCCTACACTTCCGATTAGCATGGTTGGCTACGAACGATGCGAAAGAAGTTCAACATACATTAAACCCACTTACTAACCATTCAGACAGACCAATTGTTCACTAATGTAGTCTGTTCTCCTAAAATCCATAGTTTTCATAACGCAAATTGGATATAACGCAATGAATATGTTCGGGAACACATCTTTTATAACGCAGATGCGAATTAGATATAATGCAAATGAGTAAACACGCAGGCTTTCGCAACCAATATCATCCATAATACAGTTTTTTTATTGAGTTAGATCACGTAAATATATTGGCTGTGTTGGGTGGTGGCGGGTTTAATGACACATGTTTACGCGATTTAACCCAAAGAAACCTGTATTATGGAAAACAGAAGTATGTCACGCAAGTAGGAATATGCGGTCGTACAGCTGCCTCGGTGTAGCATCATCATCATCATCGCACAAGACATTGGGATGCTGCTGGATGCTACCCACTATGCGCCTCTCGGTCTTCGTTGAGCCTGCATAATGCATCTCATGTGTTATCGCGGACTCTGCTTTTACTCCCTATATTACATGTTTTTTTTATTATAACGCGATTTTTCCATAACACGGTGCTCTTCAGGAACGCAATTACTGCTACCGCGTTACAGGAGAACACAACTGCACAAGTTTAAATAACATCTGCCTTGTTCTTGGTTCTTTCGGTAAAGTCACGTATAAGGGAAACAATAAAATAATAAAATAATAAAAATATAAAACAATAAAAAATTATCACGATGTTTCGACTGCAACACAAGCAATCGAAACGTCGTGAGAATGTCATTGTTTTAGATTTTTTTAAATCATTTTATTGTTTTCCTTCTACGTGACTTTACCGAAAGAACCAAGAATATGAATCCCTACAGTCACGACAGCTTTAAATCAAAACATCTGCCTTGTTCTCACATTGGAATGCAGGCATTCGCTGCAAAAGCCAAGGTGAGCTGAGCTGCAGGTCCACAAGGCTGGGCTACCAGGTCTGTGCGCGAACCTCTGTGGAGGCCGTGGAGGGCGGCTCGGCAATGCTGCCCTGCACCTTCTCGTACCCGGCTCACCTCCCGCCCAGCAGTGTTTCCGTGTCCTGGAGGCCGGACGGGCTTCACGAGGCCATCACGTTCCAGAGCGCTGACCCGTTTCTGCGAGAGAACGTCCTCGGGGATGACGGCAGGGGCCGCTTCTCCCTTGCGGGAAACCTGAGCACACACAACGCATCCATCTCGATCCGCGACCTCAGACTGGACGACTTCAAGGCGTACGTCTGCCAGCCGGTCATGTACTACGTGAACAAGGAGATCGTCTTTCAAGTGTCCGATCCAATCAAGCTGAAGTTGAAAGGTACATGTATTGTGCCAATAAGGGAAATAATACTTTAGTTTCTTCGTATGATTGTCATTTTAAGAACTGCTTCTTCTTGTTGTGTTGTCTGTCCCCATCACTCACCCACTCACCCACCCACTAACCCCACGTGCACCTCCAATGAGCATAGTCGGTTATTACATACGGTGCGAAAGAAGTTCAACATACATACAAAGGCAAAGAGATTACTGTTGGGGGCAAGTGCTGTTAGCGACCAACACCTATGAAGGCCAGCACAGCACACGAAGGGATGGGTTGCCAGCACCACGCCCCCTGGCCACCTTTGTCTCCCCTAGTGGCAATCTTTTTACACATCACACCAGGTGCTCATTTTGAGGCTGCGTCGACCTTGAGGAGACCCAGGAACCGGTTCGGATAACCACCACTACTGATGCTGGCGGCCGTGAGTGGGACTCGAACTCGGATATCGTCTTAAAAACTGGCTTAACCGCCATTCTGCCAGCTCCCCGCCGAGACACCAGAGCGCACTGTGACGCACCAGTGCCTCTCTAAGGAACCTAACCCTTCCTTCGTTCATGTCCACAGAGCACACCGAAATACCCGCAACCCCCAAGACAACGACGACGGCAGCAACATTGTCAGCAGCACCATCTCCTGCCGCGACGGCTCAATGCCCTCTAGTTTCACGCGCTCCCATCCACTCCGTCGCCGCTGCCGCTGTGCTCGGTTGGGCGGCGCTCCTCCTGGTGCTGGTGCTCGCATGGAGGAGATGCGCCGTGTGCGCCAAGAGGCGCCGGGCAAGAGGTGTGTGATACGATCATCCCCCAACGTCCTGACAACAGTGGGCAGTAGAGTCCATAATAGAGTTTTTTGGCGAGATCACCTACATATAAATGTGACATTAAACCCACCACCACCATACACAGAAGTAAACCCACACCATTTACTATTCGATTACGTTTCACCAGTAATTACAACAACAACCAGCATCGTCAGGCAACGACCAGATTTGTGGAGAAATCCTCCTCACGTTTTGATCTGAAATAGACAGATAAATCAGGTGCGAAGGCTGGGGTGGTAAATGTAGGGATATAAATTACAATGGATATCCATTCATGGTTTGGTTATTCATAGCACAATCAACATGCATTATGCGTGCACATTGTGCTTTTACATCCTGCCATTTATTTTAGTGCAAGAAATCGAAATTCCTGTTATTTTCTGCTCACAGTTATTCACCATAGACGTATAGGCATGCAGTTAAAGTGTATCACTTGATGATTCCCTGCCAAGCAGCACTAAGCCTGTAGCTATCAGAATGGTAGATTTATTTTTCGTTTACGTGACAAACCTTACTAATTGGGTTTGTCGGGTGGTGGCGGGTTTAGCGACACATTTATATTTACGCGATCTAACCCAAACACTTCTAGTATAGAAAATATTGGTCGTGAAAGCCTACGTTTTAAACAGAGTAGTCTTCACGGGTCAGACTATAAACACACTTGTTTGGCGGTCCAGTCCCTAATAGGTCCAGATGGTTGTGATTATGTAATGTCGGGCAAGTGCACACAAACTCCACCCTCCCTCAGCAGTTCGCTTGGGAGATCTTTCTCTGCCTGGCACTTTTCGTGGTCTCAAGACTCTGGACCACCTTCCGTAACTTTCTCAACAGATGACACTTCAGCCAGTCGTAAGCTATCACAAATAAAAAGTTCCCTCGAATAGCCTTAACAGACTGTTAGGGCAAGTGTCGTTAGCAAGCAGCACCTATGAAGACCTGACAGGCACACGAGGGAGTGGGAGGCCAGCACGATGCCCGGCTGCCTTTATCACCATAGTGGCGATGTTTACACACCACACCAGGTATTGATTTGAGGCTGAGTCGACCCAGAGGAGGCCCAAGACCGGTTCAGATAATCGTCACTCGTGTTGACCGTGAGCAGGAATCGAACTCGGCTTTCTATGTTTGTATTGCAGCACAGTGCTAACTGCGACACCACCGCTCCCCACTATACACACGCGCACACACCCACCCCAACACCCAAATGGTTACCCAATACATCTCCGCAACACAGACACATACTGCCAAATAGACAAAGATAAAATATCTCCAATAAAGGCTTTTAACAGACTGTTAGTGAGCACCTATTTAAGGCGGCCACGACACGCAACACAAATCCCTTCTCACTCTCAAACACGCATGTAGACATTCCATAAGACGCAACACACTCGAGAAATTGCATACGTGGGCTCAAGTACACTCGCAAAATAGTTACAAGCAAAAATCACGTGAACATTACTTAAAGACAACATGAATGACACATACAATATACAACTTAGCTGAGCCACAGCCTGGGCGTTGATGGAAAGACAGATATGTTGGTTTGACAGCAGAGGTGTCCCTCCGAATCAGTTGGGCAGCATTGTCTTTTCATCGGCTGCGTATTGCTGTGTGGAAGTGACCTGGTCTGTCGCTCCAAACGACACTTCGGGTCTTCTCGGCCACTGTCATGCCTTCCCTTCTCTATGCTTGCAAAATATGGACCCCCCCTAATGGAACATCTTCGTCAGTTAGAAACATTCAGGCTGGCCTGCCTACGATTCATCGTGGGTTTAACCAAGCTGGATTGCGCGAGGAGCTCACAAATCCTTGAAAGATCTGGGCATGGTCCCATCGGTCAGCAGGCAAAGGCAGCGTCAGCTGGATCATGGATCATGTAGCCCACATGCCCAGCCACTGCATGCCCAAACAGCCTTTGTTCGGTCCAATAGAGGGGGCCAAACGGGAGTGACATGGCCTAGAGAAGAGATACACGTAGAATGGTGTGGTACAGGAGGATGTGGAGCTGAGTGGACTTGCCGATGACTGGTACCAGCGGAATTAAGATCGGCCTCTGTGGAGGAGGCTCGTGAAGGACGCTACTGCGTAGTTTGAGGCAGTCACCCTCCAGCAACAATGGAGGGCAGAGGAGCGACGCTCACAACGATGAGCGGAGCATCGGGTGGCTAAAACACAGCAAGTAGGCACAGTGGGAGGCACAGGTGATGCATCGGCCAGGCACCTCAGTCAGTCAACCCATGGCACCACCTGGGTCTGTCCCATGACCTCCTGCCAGCGGGCGTTTTTTGACACTTCACGTGACCTTAACGTGCACATAGCCTGGCACAAGCGCGGTAGTGACGTCATTGCCACTGAAGTGGCAAATGGCGGCTGTTGTTGTCGTTGCACCAGGATCTTTATGTATTCGGGAATCCGGTAATCGCTGTTCACTACCAGAAGAAATTAGGGAGTCTGCTACTATATTTGAAGTCAAGGCGGCCTTACCATCACCGCCACGATGCACAAAGTAGCTGCCTGGTGATTGTGTGTCATTAAACACAATCTCTCACTTTCCATGAGTGTAAGAACTGCGTTTTGTTGTATTTCCTTTGGTATCCTTCCTCCCCATACGTCCGATTAGCACGGTTGGTTACATACGGTGCAAAAGAAGTTCAACATACATATATACTACCATTCACTATAACACTATACACTACACCGTACACTACACGAGTATATACTGCTATACACTAGACCACGATACTACAATGGCGAGGTTATGTAGCCCCGTTTGTCCAAACGAGCTTCTATTTGGATGGAAAGAGGGGGGGGTGGGGGCTAAACGGCCATGGAATCATTATTAGAGTTGATGGGGTGGACGTGGAAATTGAGTGAACATTTTCAACATCTACTATTAGCAGGAATAACAAATGCGTAGCCCACAAAGACTCACACTTATCGAGATCCATACTAAAACGAAACTATCATTTCACCAGATAAGGTGCCACTGAGCTATGTTCATTTTTTTAGAAGCGACCTGACCATTACAAACGATAGTTCAACGAAGAAGTGAGCTTATCATCATCATGTGGAAATGTATAGTAGTAGCCAAATAATATACATTCATAGAGATGCATATATAACCACATAGACCCAGAGATCTATACCCATATAGAACTTTAGAGACCCACATAAACCCACAGAGACCCATTGAAAAAACTAAATATTTATATTTTACCAAGTAAGGCCCCACTGAGCTCCGTTGCTTTATTTTCACGAGCGACCTGGCCATCACAAATGATAGCTCGAGAGAAGTGAGTTTATCATCATTATGTGGAATTGTTTAACAGCAGCCAAATGAAGACTTCACTTTGATAGTGCATTGTCTTTGAGCTGTACGGCTTTTGGCGTCCTCTGGTCTAGCACCAATTGAGACGAGGCTCAAAAGAAAGCCATCTCTGGTGTGAACCAATCAGTTTCAAGGACAATGCATATATTATCAGTGTGTTTTTGTTTGCATTTTGACCACTAGTATTGTGGTTAATGCACACATGATTCCTCGTAAAACAAAGTTTCAGTTTTGTGGCCAGAAAAAGGGGAAAAACCATATTATTATATTTTGGTACAGGCAAAGGAGGTCTTATGATTTAAATGTGCGTTTATGTCTATTCCACGTGTTTACCCACAAACGCCTCGCTGAGAATCGAGACTCGTTCAGGATGATCCAATTTGGATAGCGAACATCAGTGCTGCTGATCGTTGATCCCAATCGTGATCGCCTCTATATTGTAGTAGATTTTGAATTATCCGTGGCTGTCCTCGCCATCATTAGCGCGGAGAATTGAGCCCGCTGTATGTTGAACTTCTTCCACACCGTATGTCACCAACAGCACTAATCGGAGGTGCAGGGAAGGACGACTAAACACAACAAGCAGCTCTAAAAAAGTTCGTTTTCAATCTCAATGATTTAAAAGTGCATAGCTCTAGTTGCTTCTTAATATCGCAAGAGCGTCCCAGACAGCCGCAGCAGTGCACTTGTGTAATGTAAGTCATGTATATGGGGAGCGCTCGCGTTGCAGTTAGCGCGTCGCGCAACGAATCCAGCGACCCCGAGTTCGACTTCGCGCTCACGGCCACCAACACCAATGACGATTACCTTAACCGGTCCTGGACCTTCTTCCCTAGGTCGACGCAGCCTCAAATGAGTACCAGGTGTGGTGTGTAAAAGCACCAGCACTAGGGGAGACAAAGGCGGCCGGGCGTGGTGCTGTTTCACCCATCGCCTCGTGTGCCAGTGCAGGCATTCATAGGCGCTGCTCGCTAACAGCACTGTTATGTATGCAATGTATGGAGGTAAGTAATGTACATTATGTGTGTATGGAATGTGTGTAATATTTTGCATGTAGTAACACGCTTTCCTCCCCACCCTCTCCGCCATGCTGGCAAAGATGCACAACAGGATATCGGTGGTGATGACAACAACTGCACTACTGGTAACTACAACGTCGCCTTCTCACTCAAAACTTTAAACTAGACTATTTGTTTTTATTTTACCAGGTGTAAGGCCGACCATTGAGCTGTGAAGCTTCTTTTGTCAGAAGCGACCTGGCCATCACAAATAATAGCTCCTCAACGAAGTGGGCTGATAATCATCATCATTATCACGTGTACATATATAGCAGCAGCCAAATACTCTCTAAACGCGTGACATCGATTCTAAATGTGGAGGGAAAGAAACCTCATGACCACCATGGGGTGGGGGGGGGCGGTGGCGAGAGATACAAACTCCAAATATACAGCAGGCATAGTCAGGGTCGGGATCGAACCCACGACCTCCTGTATAGCAGGCCATCCACGCGACCACGGGGAGGGAGACATGCAGCCTCCAAATATACAGCAGGCGTCAGGGTCAGGATCGAACCCCCGAAGATAACATCTCGCCACCGCAGCGCCCTTTCAATAAATACATACAAATGTAGTGTATTTTAAAATGACTCACACCGACACGTTGTAACAAGTCACCTGCTTACACTTTATTCACCTATTCCTGCACCAGTTGTAGGCACTCCGATAACTACCTATACAGTCACTTATGTTTAACTTCTCCCCATTCTTATCTACCTTCCACCTCACTTATCCTGCACTCGGCAGCTCTGCCCTCAGCGTCTCCACACACAGCGTCCCTGCACACAGCGTCTCCGCACAGCGTCTCCGCACACAACGTCCCTGCACACAGCATCTCTGCACACAGCATCCCTGCACACAGCATCTCTGCACACAACATCCCTGCACACAGCGTCTTCGCACACAGCAACTCTACATCTCCACCGCTGCCCTCACCTACGCTCCCTCAGACCCGCTCACCCGTCTGTCCCGGGTTGAGGTCCTCACCATTAGACCTCCTTTGCCAGTGCCAAAATTTAATAATAGGGTTTTTCCCCTTTTTTCTGGCAACAAAACTGAAACTTTTTTTTACAAGAATTAATGTCTGCATTAACCACAATACCTGCAGTCAAAATGCAAACAAACAAAAAACATACTATGATAATATATGCATTGTCCTTGAAACTGATTGGTCCACACCAAGGGATGGCTTTCTTTTGAGCCTCGACCCAATTGGTGCTCGACCAGATGACGCCAAAAGGTTGAGGTCCTGTTGACTCCTGGAGCGGCAGCGGCGAGATGTCTTCACTCTTCGACCCCGGCAACAACTCCCCCTCCGCTCAACCACACACCCTTATATTCCTCTGATAACTATACTCTCGTGCATCTCTTTAAGCTCTAGCCAGGCCGGCGCCTGTTGGCCCATCAATCAATGCTTATCTCCCGTCTCTCTGGCAACACCTCCGGTCTCAACGTGCACAACCGGTCGACCCCGTTTGCACCTGCTTCGCCCCTTAACAACTGGAGGTTTGTCAGTGCAACCTCATGTTGCACACGCGCACCTATTTGCCCTTAGTTTCCCTCGGTTAATTGTGCGCACCGCGTATTTCACTCCTCTACACAAATGTAAGTATATAAGTTCAAATTGCATGAATAAAAATGCAGACAGATCTCATGAACACCCGAGGCTGTGAGCTCTGTAGACCAATCATTGATCATGGGTTTAATTGCCTAGACAGATCTTGGTTCTCTACGTCTTTAGTGGCGCCTGGTATACAGGAGGTCATGGGTTCATGACACCTGTTGAATATTTGGAGTCCGTGTCTCTCTCTCTCTCCCCCCGTGGTCGCGTGGATTTTTCTCTGGATCCACCAGTCTTTTCCCTCCACATTTAGAATCAACGTCACCACGCGGCTAGAGAGTATTTGGAAGGCTGCTATACATTTCCAACCGATGATAAGCCCACTATCGTAGCCAAGTCGCTTTTTAAAAATACAGTCACACCTCGGGATACGTTGTGTTTTGACAAGAAAAAAATGTCTTGCGATACGACGTCTTGCTTGGGATACGACGCGCTTGCTAGAACTTGTATGGGTCGGGATGAGACACCGCGTACCTGTGTAGACCCCGTTCACGACTGAGACAACGCGCCGCTCCTCAGTCTGCCAGTACAGTATTTTTATTTCTATTTTATTTATTTATACATTTATTTTAATTTATGTATGCATTTTAGTAATAAGTAGTGTCTACATTATGTTATACAACCCCATTAATGTTTAATATGCCATATAAAATAAAATTTCTTATACTCTGGAACGGATTATTTCCCTTCCCTTTATTTGTTATGGGAAAAATTCATTTGGTGTTCGTCACTTTTCGGTATGAGTCCTCCTACCTTCTGGAACGAATTAACGACGTATACCAAGGTAGTACTGTAGCTACATAGCCTCAGTGGGCTTTGTGTATGCAATGAGCGGCGAAGGAGATCTGAACCGATCCAACTGCCCCAGCATCGCGCTAAGCCCTGAACTCCCCACGATCAACACGACACACCGTATGTGTGTGTAATGTTTGTACTTCATCTCGTCCTCTCCAGACCTTGCATCGTACGCAGAATACGAGGTGGAGTGTGCCAAGTCCGTAAGTCACACGACGCCACTGCGGAGAGTAAACCCAACATTCTTCACACACAGACCATCCTATCTCCTAATTGCAATTCTTTAGAACTGCTTGGCCTGCCCCCCGCACCTGCGATTAGCGCGGTTGGCTACGTACAGTGCGAAATAAGGTCAGCATGCATGTTCTACTATACACTACACACTACGTGATTATATACTACACTACTTTACAATACGCTACTATACACTCCACTACACACGACTCTTATACACTACACTATACGCTGCTATAACCTACACCACTATACTACATTGAGAACGAATTTCTTTAGATATGTTTGTTCTCGTTATTGTGTTTAGTTTATTGTCCTTCCCCCAGCACCTCGGATTAGCTCGGTTGGCTATGTACCGTGCAAAAGAAGTTCAACATAAGGACACATACTCTTTGGTTCTATTCGGTAAAGTCACGTAAATAAAAATAAAAAAACAACAAAAAACACGACGTTTCGGCCACAACACAAGCGGCCTTCATCAGGTGAAGGGACCAGACTGTCTCGAGGACAGCGCTGGAGTGAAACACAGCCACGCTCAGACCGCGACCTTTAAGCTGTGTGCGAGGAAACAATGTGCCTTGACAAAGGAATTAGCATAAAAATTAGCATTTGATTGGCCGACTTAGCATGATGAACGGTGTAGAGGTGGTGTACATGCGGGTGAACATGCCGGTTGGCGAGGGGGGGAGGGGGAGTTTACCTATTGATGGTGTGAAAAGGGAATTTTTTTAAGAGCTGCGAAAGTTTGGGGTACCACTACTTGAAAAATATACTGTACCATTGAAAATTAGTTTAATGTTTGGTTCGATTTAGAACATCTTTCCAATGGTTGCTTAATTTGAAACCATCTTCTCGGTTGAAATTGTGTCTGTGTTTGTAGATCTGAATTGCCTCGTGAACAAATCTCTGATAAAAACCCGTGGGTTTGCAAAGAACCTTGGTATCGGAGAAAATTATATCGTGATCACTCACAACACAACATGACTGCTTCTTCTGCTGATTCACTGTCAGTCAAATGTAAAGCTAACCTGATTTCTAAATTCAACCACCTATCAAAGAAGAACCCAGTTCCACATATAACAAAACTAGACGTTAACAAAATCGTCATTAATCAGAGTAGCACCCCGATTTCGGACAATCTGAAAACAGTACTGGCTAGGGGACTGAATGTAGCTGTCACCCCAAAACACATACCAGTAGATGATATCATCTCTCAGGTCGATGTAGCCCTCAAAGGCGTAGGACACATCCAAGCAGACGTTGCGAGAGCTGAAATAGCCACTATTCTTAAGAACGCTCTGAACTCGCGAATTAAAAAAACAGAAGTGATATAGTCATCCTCTCAGCTGATAAAGGCAACGCTACTGTAATTATGGATAAAGATTCATACAACAACAAAATCCAGAATCTGCTCAACGATGGAAGTTAGTCAAAAATTAAAAATGACCCCACTAATAGCCTAACGATAAAACCAACAAGATCATCACAAGTTCGACCTCCCTAATCGACCCAACTAAACGTCCCTCCCTAAAACCTTCTGCTGCAAGACCCCCTAGATTCTATGGTCTTCCCAATATTCATAAAGAAGGGACCCCACTACGACCCATCGTATCAACGATCAACTCCCCTACCTATAGACTAGCCCGTTTTCTGTCAGATACCTTGCTGCCTTTCACTGGCAAGACCGCCTCAGCAGTACTTAACTCAGCCCAATTGGTCTCTATGGTCAAAGACGTTGTACTATCCCCTGACGATATTCTTGTCAGCTTCGATGTGGTCTCTTTATTCACCAAGGTCCCAGTACCTGATACCATTGAAATAATTGAAAATTTGATCCAACATGGACTAGACCCCGATACACCTGCACTGGTTAGGCACTGCTTCAACAATACCTACTTTACTTGGAATGGCTCCTTCTACAAACAAAATTAGGGTACCCCCATGGGATCCCCCTTGTCACCAGTGATAGCCAATATTTTCATGGAGAAATTTGAATCAGACACCATCCAGACTTCCACCCTCAGACCTTCCCTGTGGAAGAGATATGTGGATGACACTTTCGTCATTTGGCCACATGGCCTCCCAGCTTTGAACCTTTTCCTACACCACATAAATTCCAGACATCCCGCCATAAAATTCACCATGGAAGTGGAGAAAGATGGCAAGCTACCATTCTTAGATGTTCTGTTTGAGAGGAGACCTGATGGCTCACTGGGGTATTCTGTCTACAGGAAACCCACCCACACAGATTCCTACTTGAAACCTGATTCCCACCACCACCCAGCCCAAAATAATTCTCTCATCAAAACTTTATACCATAGGGCTCATTGCATTTCGGACCAACACCACCTGACCAGTGAATTAAAACATGTACACCTGGCCCTCAAAAGGAATGGATACTCTGACCGTACCATCCGCCAAGCTGTTTCTCCCTCCATACAGAAACAACCACTTGATACTCCGGTCAAAATTATCACACTACCATATATAGCAGGCGTTACTAAAAAGATTTCCAAAATTCTAAACAAACACAAGATCCAGGTCCGGTTCAATACAGTACACAAAATTCGTGATCTGATCCCATCCGTGAAGGATGTCATTCCTGACTTACAGTACCCCGGGTTTACAAATTGCGTTGTACCTGCGGTGATTTATATATCGGGGAGACAAAGCGACATGTCTCTGACCGAATTCGCGTGCACAAATCAGATTTGAAACACGGCAGAACGAATTCTTCTGCCGTAGCTGATCACTGTTACAACGCTGTGGGTGATCACGATATCATTTTCTCCGATACCAAGGTTCTTTGCAAACCCACGGGTTTTTATCAGAGATTTGTTGACGAGGCAATTCAGATCTACAAACACAGACACAATTTCAACCGAGAAGATGGTTTCAAATTAAGCAAACATTAAACTAATTTTCAATGGTACAGTATATTTTTCAAGTAGTGGTACCCCAAACTTTCGCAGCTCTTAAAAAATTCCCTTTTCACACCATCAATAGGTAAATTCCCCCTCTCCCCCCCCGCGCCAACCGGCATGTTCACCCGCATGTACACCACCTCTACACCGTTCATCATGCTAAGTCGGCCAATCAAATGCTAATTTTTATGCTCATTCCTTTGTCAAGGCACCTTGTTTCCTCGCACACAGCTTAAAGGTCCGCGGTCTGAGCGTGGCTGTGTTTCACTCCAGCGCTGTCCTCGAGACAGTCTGGTCCCTTCACCTGATGAAGGCCACTTGTGTTGTGGCCGAAACGCCGTGATTTTTGTTGTTTTATTTTTTTTACTTACGTGACTTTACCGAATAGAACCAAAGAGTATGGATCCTTGCAGTCACGAAAGCTTTAAATCTAGAATAAGGACACATGTACAGCTAAAAAAGAAGCAGTAACGCAATATCCGTGTTTCCAATAACGAATGGATTTTTTTAATGAAATGTTATAGTTTGGAGGCAAAGCAGATATTGGCGTGCCGCGGTGGAGAGATGTAAACTATCTCGCCCGTATACAGGAGGTTGTGGGTTCAATCCCTACCCTGACACCTGCTGTATATTTGGAGTTTTGCGTTTCTCGTTCTCCCCATGGTCGCGAGGATTTTTGTCCGGGTCCTCTGTTTTTTTCCGCTCCACATTTATAATCAACGTCATCACGCGTTTAGAGTATTTGGCTGCTGCTATGAATGTCCACACGATGACGATAAGCCCACTTCGTTGAACTATAATTAGTGATTGCCAGGTCGCTTTTGAAAAAGAGCTACGTAGCTCAGTGGGGCCTTACACCCGGTAAAATAAAAATGTATTTAGCATCCTGTATCCCCTTCTTGTCTGCTAGCAGGAAGTTGAGGGGGTCTACAGTGACTGCAAGGAGCACTGCAACATCTACGATCGTCTGGAAGAGGCACAAGACTCAACGTTCGTGACCACAGCTGGAGGGGATGAGCGTGGCGTGGAGTTAGGATATTGAGCCGATCAGAGGCCATCAATCCCCATATGGTGTTCGCACACCTGATAGGCTCATCACAGTGATGGCATCATCTTTACTCCCTCTATTCTTCATAATTATGAAAAATCGCATGAAGCTGGTTGTTGTTGTTGCTGCAATCATCAGCGAAACGTCACGGTTCTCGAATTGTAAATGTTGTGGATTTGTTTAACACGTAGGCTTTCGCGACCAATATCAGCCATGAGAGGTTTTTTTTGGGTTAGATCGTGTAAATATATAAATGTGTCGTTAAACCCGCCAATACCCGACACAGCCAACTAGTAAGGGTTGTCACATAAACAGAACGTGGCCAATTCGTCACTAGTACAGCACTAACCGGTGTGTTGGAGAGCCAAGCCACAACATTTACAATCTGAGTACGACGTTTCGCCAGTAATTACAAATAGCTTCATCCGGCGACAGCCAGATTTTTGGAGAAGTCAATCTGTTTCGTTCTTTAAATAGAGGCGTAGATGTGGTGACAACACTTGTGCGCTCTTGTGCAAAGTACATTATGCATGCGCATTATGCGAGCCCTTTGAGCTTGTCCTTCCTGTCCATTGTGTGTATTAAAATAGCCGTGCCAACAGTAATCCCTATTGAAGTGTGGTGGCCTGTATAGGCATGCATTTAAACAATGTTTTTTTTTATTATTTGCTTCCACACAGCACTCAGTCGGTAGCTCTCTGAACGGTTACAATTATTTTTATTTCTTTGAATTTCGTTAGATTCTCTAATTATTGTTGGCCAGTAGTCGCTAGTTTTGCACAGAACTTCAACATTATCAAAATCAATTGAGTGTCCTTATTGGCACGCGTGTTCTGCTACTGCTGACAGTTGTATTTGGGAGTATTTAATATTTATTTGGTGTTCTTTTAGTCTTATGCTGATCATTCATCCTCTGTGCCCAACATAGCATTTGCCACAAGTGCAGTTAATCCTTTACACACCTTCTGTTGATAGCTTCGGTAATACATGTTTTGTACCAGATATTTTATGTACCGTGACAAATCTGACTCGGATGTTTTCTTGTTTATCAGTTACTCCCGCAATGTATTGTAATTTGATCGTTTTAATTACTTGGGCAGTTTCAATGCTCGTGTTATTTGATTTGGTTTTGGCATTGAATGCATTCAACTCATTGAATGCCAAAACCAATTCAATGCATTGTATGCCAAAACCAAATCAATGCATTGAATGCCAAAACCAAATAAATAAATATAAATAACACCAGCATTGAAATTGCCCAAGTAGTGCTGCGTAGAAGCGAATCATAAAATAAGATATGGTTTAAATGCATGCCGAACAGCCCACCATACTTCAATAGGAATTACCGTTGGCTATTTTAATACACGTAATTGACAGGAAGGACAAGATCAATGGGCTCGCATAATGCGCATGCATAATGTGCATTGCCCCCACTTTGCACAAGTGTGGTCACCACATCTACGCCTCTATGTAAGGAACGAAACAGGTGGACTTCTACATAAATCTGGCTGTCGCCTGATGAAGCTAGTTATAATTACTGACAAAATGTCGAAACTCAGATTGTAAATGTTGTGGCTTGGCTCTCCAACACACCGGTTAGTGCTGTACTGGTGACGAATCGGCACGTTCTGTTCCCGTGACAACCCTTACTAGTTGGCTGTGTCGGGTGGTGGCGGGTTTAACGACACATTTATATATTTACGCGATCTAACCCAAAGAAAACTCGTATGTTGTGGGTTTACTCTCCAACACACAACCGGTGTGCTGAAGTAGTGGTAACACACTTACAGTATATATTCTTAGTTTTTTAGGTAAAGTCACGTTGAAGAGAAACAATAAAATAACAAAATATATATAAAACAATAAAAAATTCTCACAACGTTTCGACCATAACTCAAACGGTCATCATCAGGTGTGTTGGTTTGCATAAATTTATTTTTAAACGGCACATTTATTTATTTATAAAAACGTTAGCGTCACGCGCAGCGATTTGGCAGTTTGCCCAGGACTAGTCCATCTATTTTTTTTTTAAAAGAGGAGGGGGGAGACGAAATTTTTTATAATGTATGCTGTCTGAAAGCCACTATAAGCGTGAACAATCAATTAAGAACTGAAATGGTTTATCAAATCTTTCCAATGATTGCTAAGATAGAATCCATCTTCTCGGTTGAAATTGTCTCTGTGCTTGTATATGTGGATAGCCTCATGAACGAATCTCTCATGGAAGCCAGATGGCTTACAAAGAACCTCCGTCTTGGAAAAGTCAATGGCATGTGAGCCTACTGAATTAGAACAATGATCTGCTACGGCCGAGGTGTTTGTCCTACCGTGTTTAAGGTCTGCTTTATGTTCACGAATGCGGTCCGAGACATGGCGTTTGGTTTCTCCAATGTAACTACTACCACAGAGGCAACTTAGTTTGTAGACACCAGGGTATTGTATGTCCGGAATCACATCTTTTACAGATGGAACCAGATCACGGATTTTATGTAATGTGTTGAAACGGACCTGGATCTTGTGTTTATTCAAGATTTTGGAGATATTTTTTGTGATCCCAGCAATGTAGGGTAAAGTGATGGTTTTGAAAGGCTCCTCAAGAGGGTTCTTCTTCATGGTTTGAGTGATAGCTTTGCGGATTGTATAGTCGGAGTAACCATTAGCCCTAAGAGCTTGGTGTACGTGCTTGAGTTCACTGCTTATGTGTTCCTGGTCGGATATGCATTGGGCTCTATGATACAGAGTCTTGATGAGAGAATTCTTCTGTGATGGATGGTGGTGGGAATCCGGTTTCAGATAAGCATCCGTATGGGTAGCTTTCCTGTAGACAGAGTGGCTCATTGAACCATCAGGTCTCTTTTTAATTAGGACATCCAAAAAAGGAATCTTGCCATCTATTTCGACTTCCATGGTAAATCTGATGGCTGATGATGACCGTTAGCAATCATTGGAAAGATTTGATAAACCATTTCAGTTCTTAATTGATTGTTCACGCTTACAGTGGCTTTCAGACAGCATACATTATAAAAAATTTCGTCTCCCCCCTCCTCTTTTCAAAAAAAAATAGATGGACTAGTCCTGGGCAAACTGCCAAATCGCTGCGCGTGACGCTAACGTTTTTATAAATAAATAAATGTGCCGTTTAAAAATAAATGTATGCAAACCAACACACCTGATGATGACCGTTTGAGTTATGGTCGAAACGTCGTGAGATTTTTTTATTGTTTTATATATATTTTGTTATTTTGTTGTTTCTCTTCAACGTGACTTTACCGAAAAAACTAAGAATATGAATTACTGCAGTCACGAAAGCTTTAAATAAAAATTTAATCACCTCTACGGGGAGGATTTTCACGTAACTTTAAGATCCTTCAACAAACTCCGGGATAAGAAAGCTCAGCTGATCGAGTCTCTCACCTTCCTGAAGAGATGCCGCGACTCTGGGGTAATACCAATCGCATTTACACTGACCTCTGCTGCTGTAACTTCTTCTAATGCGAAACGAATTCTTTTCAAAACTAGCTTAGCTCTTATCTCAGAAAAAATCAGACTTATACGCACAGAACTAGATCAGTTAGACAAGACACTCTACAAATCACACTTATCATTGACGGCAATAATGTCCACATCGGATTGGGAACATGTAGACAATATGACTGCCTCTTCAGCTGCTACTATGTCGACCAAATGTAAGGAAAACCTGATTTCCAAATTTAACCTCCTCTTCAACAAAAGACCGGACCCACACACCAAAAAGTTAGACGTTAATAAAGTCGTAATTAATCGCAGTAACAGTTCTATTTCCGATGGTCTGAAATCCGTTTTAGCTAAAGGTCTAAACTTTGCAGTCACACCTAAACACATACCAGTTAATGATATAATTGCCCAAGTAGACGTTGCTCTCAGGGGCCTGGGTCACATCGCTGCAGACGTAGCAAGATCTGAAATCGCTGCAACCCTCAAAAACGCTAAGATGCCAGCTAGCAACCTCAGCAAAGATGAGCGTTTTGAATTATATAAATTAAAAAAGAGGAATGATATTGTAGTCCTCTCAGCTGACAAAGGCAATGCTACTGTCATCATGGATAAAATAGAATACAACAACAAAATTAAAGAATTACTCGACGATGGTAGTTATACAAAAATAAAAAGAGATCCCACCAACAGCCTCGTCACACAAACCAACAAAATAATTTCTGATTCAACCGCATTAATTGATCAATCTAAACAGTTTTCGTTGAAACCTTCTGCTGCCAGGCCACCAAGATTATACGGCTTACCAAAAATACATAAAGTTGATACACCTCTTCGTCCCATAGTCTCTACTATCAGCTCCCCCACCTACAAACTAGCTCGTTTTTTGTCTGAAATCCTGCGTCCTTTCACTGGAAAGACCACCTCTGCAGTACAAAATTCTACTCACCTGGTATCGACAATCAAGGGTATTTCCCTGTCCCCAGACGACCTGTTTGTCAGTTTTGATGTAGTTTCCTTATTCACCAAGGTTCCTGTACCTGACACCATTGCAATCATTGAAGACTTGGTTCATCAAGGACTAAACACTGAGGTACCCCCCCTAGTGAGACACTGTTTAACCAATACATACTTCACTTGGAATGGAACTTTCTACAAACAAACTGAGGGCACCCCAATGGGCTCCCCCCTTTCTCCAGTTATAGCTAACATTTTCATGGAGAAATTTGAGACTGACGCCATCCAGACTGCCACTCTGCGCCCAACCTTATGGAAGAGGTACGTGGATGACACTTTTGTCATCTGGCCACATGGCCGGCCTGCTCTAGACCAATTCTTCGACCACATCAATTCCATACACCCAGCCATCAGATTTACCATGGAAGTCGAAATAGATGGCAAGATACCTTTTTGGATGTCCTAATTAAAAAGAGACCTGATGGTTCAATGAGCCACTCTGTCTACAGGAAAGCTACCCATACGGATGCTTATCTGAAACCGGATTCCCACCACCATCCATCACAGAAGAATTCTCTCATCAAGACTCTGTATCATAGAGCCCAATGCATATCCGACCAGGAACACATAAGCAGTGAACTCAAGCACGTACACCAAGCTCTTAGGGCTAATAGTTACTCCGACTATACAATCCGCAAAGCTATCACTCAAACCATGAAGAAGAACCCTCTTGAGGAGCCTTTCAAAACCATCACTTTACCCTACATTGCTGGGATCAC